CCGAAATATGCCCAGGTCAGGAAGCTCAGAATCTAACCAACATAGACCTCACTGCCCGGAATGTCAACATAGCAGCCGAAGGATTCACATTCAAAAAACAAAAAACAAAAATCCTCCCCAGGCTCGAAAAAAAAAATAACAGGCGATGCATTTATTGCAATGCTCACAGCCTCACCCCAGATCAATCTGTCCAGCAAGTGGAGAAACATGTAATAGGTGTGGAAAATTGGACACTTCGCTCAAGCATGTTTGTCTGGCTCTAAGGTAAGACAGATCAAACGCCGACTCGGTACATACAAAATTCCATCAGGGACACTTTGACCTTATGTAATGGTTAGAAAGCTTGTCCCGCTAAAACAATTACGACTGAATAGCGAGTTCGATCCTCACTGGGTGTCGGCATACTTTCGGCCCTTTACCACATCTAATCTACGCTTAGTGGGAAAAAAAATCACCATATATAATTACATTAATAAAAATATTACTTTAGTTTAGTCTGATGACGTCTTAAAAGGACGAAACACATTACTCTAACGTAATAAACCCCACCTGTTGCAGCTATGTCCTGTCTCCCCGGTGGTTCTGGCTGAAAAAGTAATCCACCCGATCTCCCCCCACCCCGGTGAACTGAAGGAACCACCACTATTCGCCACGTTGTGAATTCTTGATCCGAACAGCAGTTTATCAGTCGCCCCAGGACGTTCCAGTGGGAAAGGGAGGAAATGGTTGGGTATTACGCTGAAAGGAAATCACTATTCATGCAAAAAATAGTTTCTTGTCGTAGCCGCAAAGACATGAAAAAGAAAAAATAAGCAACTCTTTCGGTTCCTGTACAAGAACCTTTTTAGACCACTGTTTTTATGTCACTACCGAAGAATTTGCACGAGTCCAAAATGTCGTAACGAGGTTCACTCGTTTGGGGTCAGAAGTGAGAGAGAGAGAGAGAGAGAGAGAGAGAGAGGAAAATTTCTGCCTAAACAATTCCGGCTGATCTAAGGGAAGTAATTCGGGGATCTTCGTCGGAGCGTGTAATTATAGCAGTTTGGTTTCTCAGCTTTGTTGGCAAAATTAATTGGTTTCATACAGGGTCTGTTTCTATTTCTGGGTTCGGATCGGACCTCTTGGGCGCGTGACAACCAACCAACCGGACCAGCAAATTCCAACAAGCCGTCTCTTCCGCGTTCTGCCGCGTTCTGCGATCTGATTAACTCAAGCGTGCGGGCAGCTTATATAGAGAGAGGCGGAGTTAAACCATCTTTAGGCACCACCCCCGAATTTTAATATGCAAATCGCCTTTGACCACCATGCAAGCTTTTCTGGTCCCGAAACTCAGCGGGAACCCAGTTTTCAAGAGATACTAAAATCGGATTCGGACCACCTGCTGGGTCATCCGCAGACAACGTCTACTTATGTTTTGCCCAAACCTCTTGTCCCGTCTGGTTGAATTCCACCATTCTGACCACCCAAAAGTCCATTTCGCCATTTATCACAGACTTTACTTTAAGGAATCCGTCTCTTAATCACTCTGGAATGATTACATTTAATTAACTAAGAACTCAACCCCAGAAACAATTATTAAGAGAGAAAAAAAAACAAGAGAAAAAAATAATCTTATTTCTGGAATTATTCCGGAATCCCTTCTACCCAAGTAATTAGCACCTTCATCCTAATTCTTTAGCATTGTTGATTACTAAATCCACCTCCGGGTGGGGGGGGATTCTCTCTCTCTATGTCACATTACAAAGATTTTTTCCACTTCGTTATTTATTTGCCATGTCTATATATATATATATATATATATATATATATATATATATATATATACACTCGACCAAATTTCCAGTTCTAAAAAAAAGCAGATAATCTTTAGGAACCGGTTATATTCATTTCAATCTGAGAATGGAAACAAATCACTTTATAGTATCAAAAAGAATTAAACTATTTCAGTAATTTAACAAAGAAATTTCCAGGTTGAAATTCTTTTCTCGCCATATTTCTGTTCAGAAGTGTGATTCTTTTTTTTATTTATTCTAGTGTCATCAGTTCTGTTTTTGTTTCTTCGACATATTTGAACTAAATCGGTGCACCCGCAAACAATGGAAGCCCTTTTATGACTGGAAGATTTGCTATATTTTTAACTTCAAGTCGATTTCTATTTTCACAATAAATTATGTTGATGACAGTAAACCTTATTTCAGCCTCAGCATAACTTACGGCCCTGGTATTAATTACAGTTTTAGCTATTATATATCGGCTATTGATATACAAGATTATTTTCGGATAGTCGAATGGTTCTCTAAGCAGGTTTAATTTTAGGAATCGATTTGCGCGAACTGGTAAGATACTACCGCTAATATATATACATAAACATATGAAGCATATATCCATAAGAAGAAATGTGTTGTACATTTTAATAAATGAAAATATGAAAGAAGAGAAAAACTTGCATGTGGAAATTAGTGCAACGTCTCGGCGAATTTTGGTTGGTAAATTAATCATTGCATAAGAAGAATGGCATTTTGCGTGTAAAAGCCACCGACAGCATCGTACCGGGATCCGTTCTTATCTAGAGAGAGAGAGAGAGAGAAAGAGAGAGAAAGAGAGAGAAAGGAAAAAAACAATTACAAAAAACATTTTACGAATCTGTTTTTATAATCCTACACACTTTTGGCGCGTAAGTTTCTGGTTGGTTGTTCTACTTTTTATGATATGCATTATTCTAACTCTTTTTTTTTCATTAAAATTTTTTTCTTAAATATGAAGTACAGTATTTTTACCCATCAATATAGCATACTGTAAAGCTACAAAGATTCGCTAAAAATGAGTGTACATGATGAATAAATGCCCTCAAATTAATAAAAACAAAGTTTTATCGTCAAAATCTATGTTATTATTATGTGGAAAGACCAAAGAATGTTTATTATTATTAAATTATATCTTTTCATTCTTTTTTAGAACGTTCGAAATTTTGGTCAAAAATAAGTATGGGAAACTTGAGCGTCTTTTCGCAGTAAAAACACATTGATTTTTAAATTCACGTAAAAATCAAATAATTGATTTTTGGACTTATTCACTAATGAATGAAATAATTTTTGAAAAGTTTCTTTTTAAAAATTACTTTTTATATCTGTTACCCCCACCCCGGCTTATTTAACTTATGAAATTTCAAGAAATTAATTTCTGTAGAGCTTAGTTATGACCTTGGAGAATGTAAATCATAATTTTTTTTTGTTTTTTTGCTAAACTACAGGAATTCTGTGACAGGAAAGCAGCTCTGAATCGTAAAATAATAAATACAATAAAATTAAGACAATATTTAATTAGAAAATTTTTTTAATTACATTTAGGAATAATGGTAAATTATGGATAGTATTGTCTTAAAAAAATTTGAGGAAAAACTAATTTTTACAAGAATTGTTTTCATTAAAAAAAACGTAATTCCGGTACTCAGGTACTGAAAATTGTAATTAAAAATAGGAAAATTTGCGATGGGTATATTATACCCATGGTTAGTATTCTTGTGGTAAATCCGACATATTTTTCATTTCTTTGTTTAAATATTATTTTTAATGCATACTCATATTTGAGTAGGTGCAGTTTTAATTATTTGTTTATTAAACAGTATATTTATTTATTTCCATCTACCGTCCTGAGAAGCCGAGACATCTTGTTAGAAAATTACGCACCCTCTGGAAGCATTCGAACCTGCATCTCTTAGGTGAAACCGTCATTAGATCTGATGTGCCTTGAACTCTCAGCCACGAAAAATCTCCTGAACAAACATGAGTATCCATTAAAACTAACGTTTAAACAAATGAATTATAATATATATATATGTGTGTGTGTGTGTGTGTGTGTGTGTGTGTGTGTGTATATGCCTGACGATTGCGTCTAGCATGAAACAACCTGTCGCCTCTGAGTGTTGACTTCAAAGTTCACTTATATATATATATATATATATATATATATATATATAGCACATTTCATAGTAAAAAATGTAAGTCCCGTGTGAAAGGAAATGACGTGTTCAAATGACAACTATTAAAAAAACGCGACAAATTTTTCTTCTGATCAATACTTTTATAAGTTATGACAAAAAAGTATTCAGCTATTTTGAATATTTCCAGAACCGATTGAGCAGCCATAGTGGTCAAAGAAAAGGGACTATTGCGCATGTGCGAACAGAAACTCTCTTATAAGGTTATTCAGTCGGTAATGAAACGAAGCTGAGCGAACTTGTATACTCTATGACTGTTGCATGATGTTTCGTACAGTATTTTGTGATAAAACATTGTATCATCCAAGCATATCAGCAATTTTTACTTTTCATGTTTGGCTTCCTGGATTTTCAAAAAGCTAAAATTTATATTGTAAACAAAATTGCAGACTGCAAACAACATTAATGATTAAGGAGAACGAGACGTTGCCACTGATGGTGATCCCAAAAGAGGACGTTTTTTTTAATGTTTTTAAAACTGCAGGGTTGTTGGAATAAGTGTGAAGTACAAAGAGGAGTTGTTTTTTTTAAATGACTGAGAAACCATTGGCTTAGGGAATAGTTTTGGATTATGCATTGACCATATCTTGAAACGATGTTTGAAAATAAAATGACTCTGTCGTATAGCGACATTAATTTATGAGAAGCTTTCGTTTTTAAAAGGACAGACAAGAAGGTTTGAGGCTCAACAGACTGGAAGTTAGTAGGAGCAATAATCAGAAAAATGTCTGTAAATCAGGGTTGCGTTTTATAAACTGGCAAATATGCGTTTCAAGAAGGTTTGTGTGTGTGTGTGTGTGTGTGTGTATGAATACGGGACAACAGTTAGTTACAAGGTAAACGTTTCCATGAGAATCTCATTGAAATTTCCATTAACGAAGAAGCTCTATCCAAGAAAATGAAATCAAATTTCAGCAAAAGGACCCTTCGTAAACTGTCGTAATATTATTGACAAGTTTAAATAATATAGTTTTTTAGCGATTTGCTTTGACAATGTGTAAGTTTACGACCACATCACATAGAAACATAGGTTTCCGTACGATCACCGAAGTTAAGTAGTGTCGAGGCTGATCAGTACCTAGATGGGTGACCGCTTGGGAATACCAGATGCTGTATGCTTGGATGTGCGGGTGGTGTAATAGATAATGGCTCGGAATTATTAATCGCAGAGCCGAGTTCCAATTCCCGTTGAGTTCATTATATTCTCTTACGCGAAAAATACCCTTGGGAAAGGCATTAATCCGTATCTTCTCCCCCAGCTATAGATTAATTAATAAGACTTGAATCGCTAAATGATAATTACCCCCTCCCTCCAATTCTTACAATATAAAAATATCTTCTGGCTTTAAATAACCTGCAAAGGTTATTTAAAGCCGTAGAAAACGAATCAATCAAATCATTTACTAATTTGGGCTTACGGTCACATCACGTTGAAACGCAATCGCTGAAGTTCAGTAACATCAAGCATGGTAAGTATCTAGATGGGTGACCGCTTGGGAATACCCGGTGCTGTAAGCTTGGATGTGTGTGTGGTGTAATGGATAACAGCTCGAAAGTGAAAATCGGAGAGCCGAGTTCCAATTCCCGTTCGGCTCGTTGTATTCACTTATGAGCAAATCCCCTTGGGAAATGTATGGATCCACCACTTCACCCCCAGCTATGGATTAATTAGTAAGGCTTTTATCACTGAACCATTTTTAATTCAAAACAAATTCTTACAATCTATAAATGTTTTCAAGCTTTAAATAATCTACAAAACGCTGAGAAGCCATAAAAAGGAATCAGTCACTCAATCAATTGACAATGTCACTAACATAAATAAAAAAAAAATACTTTATCCTAAGTCTTAATGATTCAACGGACGAAAAAAATCGTAGATAGTGTGAAGAGTGCATCAGTAAAACCATTTTACATTAAAACGAAGAAAAAAATCCTGAAAACATTTAGCAAGTACCTCAAAGTAAAACAAATTTAACCATTAATTTAAAGGCGACTGCTGTTAAAGTGACCTTACACAGGACAATAAACATCTCCGTATACACCCCAACCGAATGAACTAGTAAATGAAGATGGAATTCATGAAATCATAAGACAAATCCCCGCACCGTTTATGATACTAGGGGACTTTGTCACAGGTTGTAAAGACACAAACCAAAAGGGAAGGGCCTTAAAAACAATAATAAAGGTTTATGATAAAACATCGACTTACATAAATCTATTTACTGGCAGCTCATCGGGAATAGGCTCATCCCAATGTGATCCATCAATTTATATGGCTTTTTCTTGGAAGATACTGGCAGACACATGCGGTAGCCATTACTTGCCTATCGTTCTACAAAACTCAGAACATAATGACAAAAATCCTCTCGACTGAAAATTAAGCCGAGCGAACTGGTAAGAATTTAAAATGCAATGTTCTGAAAAACTATTTGGAGGAAAAAGCATTAAGGACTTAAAACATTTCAAAGAAATACTCAACTCTATAGCTAGAAAATGCATTCCAAAAAGGTTCTGCGCCAAAAAAAAAAAAAAAAAAAAAAAAACGCAACAGACCTTGATTCATTGAGAGATGTAAAAAAAAACTCCATCAGCCTAAGAAGAGCAGCTCTAAGAGAATTCAATAAACAACCTAGAACTTCTAATTTGATGCGGTTTAAACAATTCCGAGCAATAGTACGGAAACTAACTAAAGAAACGAAAAAGAATGCTCGAAAAACTAGGTCAACAGACTCAATTCTGCTACAAAATGTCTATATGTCTGAAATATAATAAAGAAAGTAGCAAGCAAACACCAAACAAACACCGTAAAACATCTCTCAATAAATAATTTTAAAATATCCAGCGAAAAAGAAAATCTCTGACCAACTAGCTAAAACAAACCCTAAAAATTAATCTGCCAAGAATGGTAGCCAACAATTTCTAAAGCTCAAACAAAAAGCAAGAGAAAAAACAAGAACTAAACTTTCAATCAAGTAATGCAGAATGCTATATGCTACCATTCACTCTAGAGGAACTAAATGAATATTTAAAGAAAGCCCACAATATAGCTGTGGGCCCAGATGATATCCACTTCGAATTTCTAAAACAGTTACCCAACAAATCATTACAGCTGTTAATTAAAAATGTATAGTAACATATGGACTCATGGTAACTTCCCAGAAATGTTGAGACAATCATTCATCATCCCAAACCTGGAAAGGATGACTCAGACCCTGAAACCTACATACCAATATGATTAACTATTTGCCTATGTAAAACTACGGAGAGAATGCTCAGCAACAGGTTGGCTTCGTATCTGGAAACTAAAGTCTTAAACAGCGACATCAGATGGGCTTTTATGGAAAAAAGAAGCACGATGGACCAGTTAATACGCTTAGAAACCTTTGTGAGGGAAGCCTTCACTAAGGAGGAACATCTCACAGCAGGTATTTTTTTTTTGACTTAGAAAAAGTGTACGACACGTTTTGGTATCTTGAAAGGCCTGCATGAACTAGGCCTAAAAAGAAGGCCGAGTCAATTCATAGAGAATTTCCTGGAAGATCGAAGATTTCAAATCCGTATATGAACCACGCTATCAGAATTGCAGCATCAAGGAGGAGTTCCACAAGGAAACATTCTTTCGGTGACCATATGCTGCGTATATATTAAATCCATAGTTAAATCTAAGTACCAACATGAGATCGCTAGAAAATGAGCATAGCAGATAATAACGGCCTCAAAGTTGATGAAAATAATTTTTTATCGTCTAAATGTTTATGTTATTATCAAGAGGAAAGATCAATGTATTTTTTGATTATTTTTTACATTTTTTAATAATTTCTAGATATCCAAAATTTTCGTTAAAAATCTTGTATTTTTTTTATCAGCAAAATTGACAGAAAATCGATCGTCAGCCATTTTTTTAAACTTTTGTTTACAAAAGTGAAAGTCTCCGTTTAAAATTCTTTTAAAAACTCAATTATGATTTTTTTTTTAAATTAATTTAAGAAAATTAGAAATTATAAAGTTTATTTAATATATTTTGAAACAAACATTACTTACTTTCTGCACTAAAAAATGTACTTTAAAATGAGAGAAAGCCGGTCTTAAGAGCAGTGTTGATTGACAAGTAACATGTGCGTGATTTCATCACGCACGGACATATTACGGGTGGAAAAGTTATAGTATGGAAAGTCACAAGTGACAGTTTAGCTTTATGTAAACAACTTATTTACCTCGTTATTTTTAACAGGCATAGCATGATAAAAACAGCCTTAAACTTGACGAAAGCAGAATTTTATTGTCAAAATGTTTATGTTACTACCAACGCAAACCACGTGATGGACTATTGTTTTTTATGATGCTTCCGGACTTCTGTATATTTGAATTAAGCTATGTTGGACACGAAAAAGCATGTTATATATTTTTATCTATTTGCAGATTGCTGATTGTAACCAGCTTTATTTTATAATCTGTAATGATATTTATCTATTTAATAACACCATTGACTAGACTGTACATCATTTTCATTAATTTTAGGATATTTAACAACTTTAATGTAAAAAGAATAAAATAATTTAAAAAATAACAAATAATTGTTGTAAAAATTCATTTTTCATCGAAAACGTTTTTTACTTTCTGACAATATTATTCATATTCATAAAAACAAGTAAAATCAGCTAAAAGCTTTTGAAATTAAATAATATCTTTGTTTTATTGAGTTTTTTATGTTACAATTCAGAGCTGATTTTAAGGTAGAAGGGTGTCAACTAAAACAAAAATGATTTGTTTTCTCAAAGCTTTGTGCTTTTAACTAATTAATCACTAAAAATGTACACATTTGAATTTCAAGAGTTTTCATAAAATTAGATATGGGGGAGGGGTAATAAATATAAAAACAATTTTTACCATGACTTAAAAAAAATAATCATATTTATAGTAATTTCCATCATGTATGAATAGTTTCTGAAAGTTTCATTAAAATCTGACAATTATTTTTATTTTTTCAAGATTTTCAAAATTAATGACTTCCATTAAAAAAAATATGTACAAAAAATCCGCCATGTTATTTAGTTGGACATTCACTGATGAAGAGAAACGACGTTTTTCAATCAGAAGTTAGAATGCTCTAATAAAGACAAAAAAAATTTGAAAAATAATTAAAAATTACTTTGTTCCTTCCTCTTAATAAAAGCATAAACATTTAGACGATAAAATTCAGTTTTCGTCAAGTTTAAGGCCGTTATTATCCTGATATGCTCATTTTACAGCGATCCCATGTTGGTACCAAGTTAAATCCCTAAACCCATGAATAAAATGCTCCCTATATGTTAACGACTTTCTAATAATGAACAGATCTCGACATATGCATACCATAGAAAAACAAATCCAATTATGCCTCAATAAAATGCACAAATGGGCCACTGGAAAAAGTAAAACCTTTTTCAAAACTAAAACCAAATGCCTACATTTCTGCAAATTAAAAAAAAAATGAACAACGACCCCTGTTTAAAATTAGACGGAGCAGAAATCCCAATAGTAAAACAACACAAGCTCCTAGGCGCCATCTTTGACACCCCCCACCCCAAAAAAAACAAAAAAAAAACATTAATTCCCCATTTAAAATATTTAAAACTAAAATGTCCTCCAACTTCTGAGTGTAGTGACTCATCTTGAATGTGGAGCAATAACCGTCCTTTTAACACATGGTTTTTTTTTTGTTATTTTTTTTGTTTTGTTTTGTTTTTCTGTTACAAAGGCTAAATATTGTGGGATATTTTCTCTTTTTCATGAGTTTCACGCGATTAAGCGACCCTCAAACGATTATGCGTGTCTGTGTGTGCATTTTTCGTCTTTTCTTCGCTTTTCCGCTGCTCAAGCATGACACATTTCTTAAGATTAATAAGGATATGCTGGCTTGTTTCGTCTGGTTTGGGAAATATACCGCCAGAATGAGTCACTTCGATAAGTTTTCATCACTCCCGCTAATTTATTTCATCAACACTGTATCCAATTGTCCCTATTTTCCATTTAAATTATACTTCGCCTGCAACCATATCGTAGATAATGATAATGGCTTTCAATTGGATCATAGACCTCATATATTTTTTTAATTTTCTCTTATGAAAGTTACTCTCA